GATAAACTTGGCAATGCTTGGACGGTTCAGAATTTTTGTATGAGAAGTGCTTTCAAGATTACCGGATAGTTACGTTTTCAAACAAAGCATCTCTTTCAGATTTGTACAGGTTACAATGAAGAGGAAGTGTTCTTCATCTTCAATTTTATTGGAGTCACAGACAGGGCATGTTAAATTAAGACATCTATGTTGTGATATCGCCCAACTTCAATCTGAAGTATGTGGGCACTTATCCTCAGTTTAGTCATAGATGATCTGTGGATGGGGTTTTTAATAATTTCAAGGTATTTTTCAAGTCCAAAATCAGTTTTCAGCTGTCTGTAGGTACGAAGTTTATTTTTGTGATTAGTGCCTTTATTGTCATTATGCATTGTTTCTGTGCAGTGTTTCTCAAACATATTTTTTAGTTTTTTTGTAGCTACTGGGATAATACTGGTTTTTTCGCAAACATCACTAATTTCCAAAAGGTTCAGTAATTTTTTTATGCCTGTGGTCCAATTACTGACGTTTTCTTTGTCCAAATTGGTGCCAAGTTTGTAGGCCTCAGAGATCAGAGTGGTTTCATCCATATGTTTTATTTTCAGCCAGTAGTTAATCATACGTTTGATGCTTGAGATGATAAGTGGATATCTTCCCAGTTCAAGTAAACATGCCAAGTTTGTGGCTTTACAGTTTACTTGTAGTAGGTACTTGCACATTTTGTGATGTAATTTTTCCATAGGCAAGGATTGTTTAAACAAGTCTGTTGAGTGCATATTAATAATATCGCTTGCCCAGATTTCGCTACAGTAGAGTAAAATTGGTTTAACCATAGCATCAAACAATTTCAGATGTGTTTTGATTGGAATATTTGGGTCTGCATAGAGTAATTGTTTTAGTTTAAAAAGTGCCTTCATTGCTCTGTGACTAAGGTCTTCTTGAGCTCTGTTCAGTTTACCAGTAGCATTGATTTTAACACCAAGGTAGGAGTATGATGAGACGTTTTCCAATTTTTGGCTATTGATTTGAAATCTGAACTTACTTAATATTTTACCTTGCTTGTTGAAAATGATAATTTTTGATTTTGACACATTGATATCTAGTTTCCATTGTTTGCAGTATGTTTCCACTGTGCGTATTGCATTTTGCAGACCATTTTTAGATTGTGATAGGAGGAGGAGGTCATCCGCATACATCAAACATGACAAATGATTGTTTGCAAGTAAAGGGGGTTCATTATTGGATGATTCTATCTGGCATTTGATATCATTAATGAAAAGATTGAAAAGGAGTGGGCTTAAACCATCTCCCTGTCTGATACCCCTTTGAACTGGAAAGCTAGCAGTCAAACCACCTTTTAGTTTAACACAGCCAGTGGCATTCTGATAAATAGATTTAATTATGTTGTGAAATTTCCCTGAGATTTTGTTTTTGTGAAGTTTATATAAAAGACCGAGGTGCCAAATGGAATCAAACGCCTTCTTAAAGTCGATGAAACATGCAAATAAATAGTTTCCTTTATTAAGATATTTTGTTATTAGCTGTTTGAGAACAAAGATATGGTCCGCTGTGCTGAATTTTGGAAGAAAACCAATTTGCTCTTTAATTATGATATTATTGCTTTTTACATGTTTGGTCAACCTTAGTTTCAAAGCAATCAGACTTGCGATTTTTTTCACAAGAAGTCGAAAATACCACTTTTTACCAAAAATGAGAAAAACATTTATCAAAATTAGAGAATTGAAGATATCATTACAAAATGAACAAATCGGAGAGAGGTCCACATGTAGTACCTATATATGTTATATCAAAGCAATCAGACTTGCGATTTTTTTCACAAGAAGTCGAAAATACCACTTTTTACCAAAAATGAGAAAAATATTTATCAAAATTAGAGAATTTAAGATATCATCACGAAATATACAAATCTAATAGAGGTCCACATGTAGTACCTATATGTGTTATATCAAAGCAATCAGACTTGCGATTTTTTTCACAAGAAGTCAAAAATACCACTTTTTACCAAAAATGAGAAAAATATTTATCAAAATTAGAGAATTTAAGATATCATCACGAAATATACAAATCTAATAGAGGTCTATCCAAGGTACATATACACCAAGTATCAAAGCATTCAGGCTTGTAATTTTCAAAATGAATTCAAACAATTAAAGCGCTGACAGACTAATTTCAAATGACAGTTGAAAACAACTTGACCAGTCACAATATATTTTTGAATACATGGCAGTAATATTAAGATTTCATTTATTTTGCGAGTACTACATGTATATGCACGGAATATATTAAAAATAATGAATGATTTTTACCTTTTGGAAAATAGCACCTTCAATCGAGATTTGGAAGACTGCTTGCTATCAATTTCATGCTGAAAATTGAAAAGATGTTCAAGAATTGTGTATGGATAAATTTACATTATTAATATTACATATCTAAACAGAACCCACTATCATTAATTATATATGCAAGGTACACTCACTCCCATACAAGACAATCTATAAACAGAGTACACTCACTTCCATATAAGGCAAAGTATAAACAGGGTACACCCCCTTCCATATAAGGCAATCTATAAACATGGTATATCCAATTCCATATAAGGCAACATATAAACAGGGTACACCCACTTCCATATAAGGTAATGTATAAACAGGATACACTCACTCCCATACAAGACAATCTATACAGGGTACACCCAATTCCATATAAGGGAAGAGTAGGAAATCAAACGGGCGGTTCACCGCGGTAATCACCGCGGCTCTCCGCGGTACACCGGGGAGAGCCGGGGACTGCTTATAATTAGAGGTCTCTACCGCCGTGGCCACCGATACCGGTTGCAACCGCGGTCGTAGGAAAGGTGTGAAATACGTACTTAACAGTTTCCTTTGTGATTCCATGAGTCTTTGTTTCAAATAGCTGTTTTTAAATCGAGCAGGTTACGAGCATCGCTGGCATGGAAATACTAAGCATATAGTAATATTATCGGCCCACGTATTTTATTAATATAAAAATCCA